TTCCCGGTGTAATAAGTGGTGGGGACGGTGTTGGAAGTTGGGACATTCAACACTCACACACTTAAATACGCCAGCCTTGAAGATGCACCCAGACTCAGTGCAATTAAGATGCGTGATCTAGGGAGCATTCATCAGGGAAGACGAGGTATACGACAGTTCCCAGCGTAATAAGTGGTGGGGACAGTTTTGGAAATTGGGACGACATTCAACACTCATGCATGCTTCCCTGAGTTTTGGGCTTCCTGTGCATCTTCCCAGATTTTGGTGTGAACACATGCCCCTAAATTTTCGATGAACCCACTGTCCCCTGGGGCTATAAATTTGGAGGCAAGGAGTAGAAGGGATACTGCTTGTGTTCATTTGTTGTACTGTGACACATATCTTTTCTTCTTTGTTTTCTCCTTCCAGCCTTCTTCTGAACAATGGCTCATGGCAAGCGTCCAAGGGAGGAAACTCCAGAAGCCACAGATCCGCCTCTGTGTCTTCGTGTCCCTCTTCATCGCCAAGGGTGAGAGGGAATGATTTTTTATCTCTATGGATGCCTTGCATTAATCCTTTGAATATGTAGGGCTACCTCTCATGCTGCGGTACATCGGCCAACTCCGACGGAGGTTGGACAACAATAGATTGTACATCTTGCTGGGTCCATGGTATCTTCATCTTCATCTTTATCTTCATGCTCCAAGTCGGGTCAGGATATCTAGAATCTTATCCGTGAAAGGAGGGAGGCCGGAAACCTGTATTATGAAGCCACACTTGAGGTAGGTCGGCTCGAGCAATGTCTCGATGCCATTAAAATAGCCCTCTCTACATCTAAAAAGAGACCAATGTTGCTCGGATGAGGGCTGATGAAGCTCATGCTAGGGCAGCAGGTAATTTTTTTGAAGAGTCTTTGCTTTTATATTCGCGACTTTATCTGGTAACCCTTCATTTTCATTAGATCTTGAGGAACAATTGGCTGCTTCTTGTCGCGAGATCGAGGAGGCTCGTCACCGGGAGATCGACCTAGAGATCACCACAAGACCCTCCAACGTGCAACACTTGGTGCAGTTGCAGCAGTCAACGCCAGGGGTGTTTCTCTTGAAGATCGCCTACAGGATATCCTGGTTCATGCTAGAGAAGTGGCAACTCATGGCGTCCGCTATGGTGCCGGTGCCGCTCTTGCTACAGCGCAACTGTGTTCAGGGCACGAGCTCCGTAACTTAGAACCTGGTTTTCCAGACACTGATCGGCTGGAAGATCAAGAGGACCTGATTGGAGACTTCACTAATGTTGTCGAGGCTATCGCAGTGACCATCCATGCACAAGATGTTGTAAACAATATTTTCTTAGGACCATAGATTATATCTAGGGTCTTATAAGTTATAAGTAAACAATCTATTGTTTGAATGTCACTTTTGATCCTATGTTTTTATTGTTATTTTTTGTTCTAAAGGCGATACTCTAGGTGTCAGCTATTTTAAGCTGATGAGACTCGGCTATCAAGCATCGATCCAAATTAAATACTTCAATAGTACTTCTTTACATATTTTCCATTGAGGTCTACGCGATAATAGATTCGTATCATACGGCGGTTTGCACATACAAAGCAACATATCCTCTAAGGTATAAAGATTATGGAATCTAAAGAACGACGCAACACATCGCAAAAACTTCACCCTCAGTGAGGTTCTCTACCTTCCATCTTGCAACCCTCACAGTCAAGGGTGATCTGCTTCTTGACCGTGAGAGCTACAAGATGGAATATAAAGCACCCAATCTTGAAGAACGAGCACCTCGCAAACTTGATGCATCACCAATCGAGTATGGAGCCCCTCAACAGGAGAGAACCAGATGATTGCAGATCTTCTGTTAACAAGATCTGCAAGAAGATCTGCAATCATCAAGGTCAAGCTCCTGTTCAGCGGCAGCACCTCACTAAGGATGGAGAAGGAGCACCTCGCAAAACTTGCACCTGCATCTCAGTGTGGTTCTTTATATTCCATAACCTTGCTACCTTTGAGGGTCGAGGGATGCAGATCTGCATCTCGATGCTCAAGGGAAGCAAGGTTATGGAATCTAAAGCACCTAATCTTTAAGGCCTTCTCCAAACACTAGCATCCTGAGGTGTTTTATCTCCATCTTGCACCTCTCACGGACTAGGATGAAGACAAAGCATTTTTTGGCGATGAGAAAAGATACAGTAGCTCACGAGTGTGTGGATTCAAGAGTGTGTGGATTGAGCCCAAGAGGTGCATCCAGACCCTGGTTAAATAGGCCAACCTTGAAGATGGAGAAGTGTAAGTAATGGTGATGCAACTGTGTTGTGGGTAGTTGGAAAATAACTCACGCTGACTTCACCGCCGATAGACCAAACAGTCATGGAGGGCCGGCGGCCATAACACGTATCCTAGTCGGCTTGGCTTTTCATACGACCGAGAAAATACCACTACCATATCTATTGTTAACCCGTCGGTGGTAGAAGTCTCAACTGTTGGTTTTCTTCCTTAGGAGGCCTCGCTATCGATCCAACCGGTGGTGGAAGTACAACACCGTCGCTTCTATCGTTACGGCAGTGAAAATGGTGATAGTGAAAAATTAATATGCAGTAGTGCCAGCAATGCCCATTGCAAGTCCAATATCTGCTTCATGCAATGCAGGAGCATCATTTGTGCCATCACCGGTAACCACAACAACATCATTGAATGTTGTGCGCAAATGTTTTACAAGTGTATGCTTGTCAAGTGGTGATGATCGGGCCATTACCTTCAACGAACAGAATCTGTCCTTGGAGTGCAAGTACTCCATCCCAATGGCTGCATCCATTGCAAGCATTGTCCGTTTGCGCCAATCAAGATACATGTCCTTGCGAAGGACTTTCTTGAGAGATACGTTTACCTTGAATTCTGTTACCGTAGCTAATGTTGCCCCACGTCCGTTATTTACATCTAAGCAAGGAAGATTATTACTATTGACAACTCGTTTTTAACAATAAAAGATGGTGGGTGTCCTAGACGACTATGCCATTGTGACATGGGAAGTCTGCTTGCGCCACAAACTTGCTTTATTGAGTGCGATGGAGGTAGAGGATAGCATCACATTAGTTCAAATTGCACAGCATCAGACCGTGGCAGATTATAAGCCACCCACAAGCAAATGCCATACTCGAGGCCTACAACTAAGACATCGGCCACCTAATGCTCTCAGACTACCAGGAGATCCGAGGCATATAAGAAACCGTAGAGGAGGGGGTGGGGTGGTTTTCTCTCCTACAAACCAACTTAGAATAACATATCGAGTACAAGAAGGTACTCAGTAGGTCTTACCCAATTTAAATACACACTAAGGATCCCAATTTAAATGCACACCAAAGCATAAGTAATTAATGGATTTCAGTATTTTGTGACTCCTTTAATCGCACTAACTACTGTGAAGCTAGAAGTCATAGAATGTGAGCGTAACATTCAAATAATAAAAATAGTTAAAAACTCGAGAAAGTTACATGTTTTACCCGTTCGAAAACGAGGATACAACCAATATGATCCATCGGTACATAAGAAGTATCTCGAGCCTCGAACTTTCTCATGCTTAGTTAAATCACCCATGAATGTTTTGAGATGGTCTGGGGTACTAGTTTTCTAGCTACGACTGGAGACCAAGCACGCCAGCCAAATCCACAAAGTCATCGATCGCAACACAATATCAGGGTAACGTTCTCTATTCATGTTCTTTATAGAGCAAAATTCATCGCCAGTTCCTGAACTTGACCAGCGGTGTCATCCAGATTTCTGAACTTTTAAAGTGATATCTGTGGGTCCCTAAATTTGGTAGACAATGTCATCCAGATCCCTGAACTTTCAAGGTGATCATCTCAAGTCCATAAATTTGGCCGACAGTGTCATCATAGTCCCTTAACTTTTAAAATGATCACCGTAGGTCCCTAACCTTGGCAAACGGTATCATCTCTATCCAAATGTGGTCTAACCTTGGCAAGTGGATCCAACGTGTGTCAATTAATCAATCATTATTTATATAATATTTATCATGAAAATATACATTATATAAAATAATTTACATCATCAAAAAAATAAATTAAAGTATTAAAATAATTTACAACAACAAATATATTAGGTTTAAACTAAAATAAAAAATACTAGAATTAATTTAATAATTATGTATCCTTAATAGTATTAAAATAATATTAAAATTCCTATAGTATTAAAAGTTACTTCTAATTTTAGTACTATTTTAAAAGTTTTAATAGTAGTATTATAGAAGTAACTTTTCTCTATTATTAATACTATATACTACTCCATTATTTTAGTATTATTAATACTTTAATACTACTATTAAAAGTATTATAGTATTATAGTTTTAGTAGTATTATTATAGAAGTAACTTTTCTCTATTAATAATACTATATTAAAAGTTTTAATAATAATGTTATAGTATTTATAACAGAGAAAATGTACTTCTATAATACTAAAATTAGAAGTAACTTTTAATTGGAAAAAATTTAATACAATAGGTAACTTTTAATATTATTACATTTGGCCATGATGACATCGCTTGCCAAGTTTAGGGATCTACGGTGATTACATTGGAAGTTCCGGGACCAGGATGACACCACCAGCCAAATTCAGAGACCTGCGATGATCACCTTAAAAGTTTGAGGACCTGGATGACACCGTATGCTAAATTTATGAACCCACATATATCACTTTAGAAATTTGGGGACATAGATGACACCACATGTCAAGTTCAGAGGCCAATAGTGAATTTTGCTCTTTTTTTATATTTGAAATTATATTCGTGTGATAGATTTTAAAATTTTCTAAACACAACTAAGAAGCCTTTAGAACACAGAACTTTCACAGAAATCAAGTTTTTCATCGAAAATTTTTAAAATTTGTGAAAAAAAAACCCGCAATCCCAAGGAGGTGTAATAAAAGTCTAAAAAACCCACGAGCCATAAACTCCCAAACCCTCTTGTCGGCTCGGCTCTCCTCCGCGAGGCCACCATGCTCGCCGCCGCTCGCACCCTCCGCCGCCTCTCCTCTTCCTCTTCATCCTCCGTCCGCGCCCTTCGCCGCGTCCTCCTGCACCATCCACCACCCCTGCCCTCGCTTCCGCCTCCTCTCCCGCCTCTCCGAACCCTTACGCGCGCCTTCCTCCCGCACCTCGCCGCCGCCCACGGGTTCTCCACTGCTTCCTTCTCTACCTCCGCCCCATCACGCCTAGGAGAATGCGTTGACGTGCGGGGAGCCCCGGCGATACCCGAGGAGGAGGAGGAGGGGGAGGAGACGGGGGCGTTAGTGCGGCATGACACGGATGCGTACGCGGCGGTGGAGCTGGCTCTGGACTCAGTGGTGAAGGTGTTCACGGTATCCAGCAGCCCCAACTACTTCTTGCCATGGCAGAACAAGGCGCAGCGGGAGAGCATGGGTTCCGGTATGACACTGATTTAGCCCTCGAGCTGTAGTACTGTATTGCTGTGTTTGGTTGGATTGGATCTCTGCCACTGCTGTAGGCGCCCGTATGCTTGTGGATCGCTTGTTTGTTAGTCTCCCTAAATTCGACCTAAACTGCACTTTCTTTATTACAAGTTTAGAGTTCATGATTTTAATTTGCTTGCTCCAACTTGGGAAACGAAGCATCTTGTGTGCAAATTTGTGCTGCAGCTCTCAATCGTGTGTGTGCCCCAATGTCTGCTGTATAGAATTAGCACATGCTGTGCAGCACAAAAATTATTGGATCTTGTATTCCTCCAAGTTGGTGTGGTTAATATGACTCCGTTGTTCGGAAGATGTGAAAGACAATAATTTTTGTAGGTGAGTAGGTCCGATGACAACTAAGTAGATCCAAATGCAGTGAAATGGAAGTTGTTCTTTGGCTCACCTCTGAATTCCATGTCCCTGTTGCAGGGTTTGTAATTCCTGGAAGAAGGATCGTGACGAATGCGCATGTGGTAGCTGATCATACTTTTGTTCTTGTGAGGAAGCATGGTTCGCCTACTAAATACAAGGCAGAAGTCCAAGCTGTTGGTCATGAGTGTGACTTGGCTCTGTTGACAGTTGAGAGTGAGGAGTTTTGGGATGGGGTGAACAGTTTGGAGCTTGGAGACATCCCCTTTTTGCAAGAAGCCGTCGCAGTGGTTGGCTACCCTCAAGGTATGATTCTGATGTTGAGTAGATGACAATATGTTATTTGTTGCAGTATTTTGCATCTAGAAGTGGAACTTGTTATTTACATGATTCCATCCATGACTGTCTCCAATTCAAGTAGCGCATGCAGCATACTGCATACACATGACCTTCTATTTTGCAAAGGTACAACTGAAACAGGTTAGTACTATTGTAAATGCACAAATGTGGTCTAATTGATTGCACCAACAAACAAATTAGTAACAATAATAGGAACACATGAATATAGGATGTTTTTGGAAAGGTGAAGCTCCAACGTCTTTATGATTTCACCACTTTTAAAATTCATTAAACTAATTGTTGCTTTATTAACTTGTTAGCCAATCATTAACAAATCCTTGATAAGTATGAATCTTTCTGTAATTTACATCCACATTGCAAAATTATGTCCATGCTTGTATAGTGAATAGTGCAGCTCAGGGGTTTTCATTGTGCTGCCCTACTGCTAACATTAATTGTGTACATGAAACTTTCTCTGTACTTTGTGGAAAATAGAAATTATGTCAAAATGTGGAATGGTATATGACTCTGAACTTTGGCTCAGGTGGAGATAATATTTCTGTCACCAAGGGGGTTGTATCTAGAGTTGAACCAACACAATATGCCCATGGTGCTACGCAGCTCATGGCTATACAAATAGACGCAGCTATAAATCCAGGTAATAGTGGAGGGCCTGCCATTATGGGTGATAAAGTAGCCGGAGTTGCTTTCCAGAATTTGTCAGGGGCGGAAAACATTGGGTGAGTCCTTAAATATTCCCTTTTGCATCAAATGAACCTGTTGCTTTTACTAGAATTCCTTTCTTATTCCTGTCTTCTTCTTCTTTTGGCAGTTATATCATACCGGTGCCCGTAATTAAGCGTTTCATTTCTGGAGTAGAAGAGAGCGGTAAATATTCTGGGTTTTGTACTCTTGGAGTATCTTGCCAGGCTACTGAAAATATTCAGTTAAGAGAGTGCTTTGGGATGCGGCCTGAAATGACTGGAGTTTTAGTTAGTAGAATAAACCCTCTATCTGATGCTTACAAGATTTTGAAGAAGGATGACATCCTTCTTGAGTTTGATGGTGTGCCTATCGCAAATGATGGCACAGGTGAGCTTATAAGTTTCTACATATGCACTACTTCAATATGCATTAAGAACAACTTTATGCCACATATTTTGTTTATTTCATTTACCTTTCACTTATCTCCAGTCAACAATATTTGACACGCCAACTATTGTTGACTGGGGGAGTATTTGTTATGGAATCTAGCACACAATTATTGTTTGAACACATGCACATCCATGCCCTTGGTGCATGTTTTTTCATACTGCTTTTGTGTAAATCAGTGAATCTGTCTATGAACTATTTTGAGACATGTGGATCTCAGAATCAACTACTGAAGTTTGTCCATTATTTAATACCTCCAGTTCCATTCCGGAATAGAGAGAGAATCACCTTTGATCATCTGGTGTCCATGAAGAAACCTGAAGAAACAGCTGTTCTCAAAGTATTACGAGATGGTAAAGAGCAAGAATTGAGAGTAACACTTAGACCTGTGAGTCCTTGCAACCTCATTACATTTGATTTCAATCTGTACCTTTGATAATATGGGTGCAATACTGCAATTTATGACTGCTTGTTGATTAGCAAATATACTAGCGATATTCTGTTGCTATTTCTAGTTTACCTTCACACCAATTTTTGCCATGCTACTGGTAATAGACTCAACCTGCCCAGTGGACAGCGCTCAATATGGCAATACTTACTATCAGTTCCATAACTCACCCACAAATAATTGTATGTTTGTACCTTACTGAATTCATTACATTAGTCAATGGGCCTATTTTGGACCCATGTTGGCCTATCTAAGTAGTTGAAAGGGTGCAGAGATGAAGTCATCTTTTATGTAGGTCGTAGTCGCACACAAAAATGGACCAAATTGTATTCTACACAGCTCTCACAGGCCTTCTCTTTGCACACATCATTTTTTTCCATAGCGGGTGAACCCGAATTCCATTACTTATAAAGTAACTAAATGACAAAGTTTCACCTGTTTATCACTGCTTCTTACCTAATACAATACCTGATTAAACTCAAGCTCCCAGGGCTTGAGCTTTTAAACCAGTCACCTGTGAACCATATTACAGAGTTTAGACCTTTAACAACACAATGACAGAAAGAAGTTAGAGCCCACAGAACTAAATATGGATAGAACAAAGATGTCACTAGCGAAAAATGGCAACATCATTGGCGAGATCAAACAGCATTCGTGTTACAGTCGCAATCTTCAAGACTTCAACTGATCACACCATCTTGGATCACCGGGTCTCCTTGACTCCTTGCTGCTGGCCTTGTTGATGACACTACAGCGCCAAAGTCTTGAGTACTTCTGCTCCTTGTTCAAGCTCATTACAGCTCTCTGGATTATGCAGCCCTGCCCAATATGAAATGAACAGACGGAGTGAACTGATTATCTCAGTAGGAGATTTCGTCCTTTTCTTTTCAGAACAAACATTATTCCTCCCTTTCCATAGAGCCCAGAAAACTGCAGCTAGTCCCACTATTTCTATCTTATGCTAGAGCCATAGAGCTTATTGACTTTTGAAATTGGAACTGATCTTTTACGGATTTGTGTTGTTTATTATGCAGCTGCAACCTTTAGTCCCAGTCCATCAATTTGATAAATTACCAAGCTACTACATATTTGCTGGTTTTGTTTTTATCCCACTTACCCAGCCTTATCTCCATGAATTTGGAGAAGACTGGTATAATGCCTCACCACGCCGATTATGTGAACGGGCACTAAGAGAGCTTCCAAAGAAGGCTGGTGAACAATTAGTTATCCTATCTCAGGTATTATTCCATTAATTTGCTACCCTCTTACATTTCTGTTTACCCTTTCATTATTCAATCAGAAACATTTTGCATATGATGTTTCCATGAACTTGAGATAAATTTATCTTTGTACTGAATATTTGTGTTTCAGGTTCTAATGGATGATATCAATGTCGGTTATGAAAGGTTTGCTGAACTACAGGTATGTTACTTTATTATACTTATACGGTATATACCCTGGTACCCAGTTACCCACTACCCAAGCTATCTGGCATATGTCCTGAATAATCAAGCTGTCTAATATCACATGGTCAGGTAAAGAAGGTAAATGGTGTGGAAGTTGAAAACCTGAAGCACCTGTGCAGCCTCGTGGAAGGCTGCACCGAAGAAAACCTAAGGTTTGACTTGGACGATGAAAGAGTCATTGTTCTGAAGTACCAGAACGCAAGGCTTGCCACATCCCGGGTCCTCAAACGGCACAGGATACCGTCAGCCATATCGAGCGACCTTGTCGAAGATGAAGCAACTAATGGCGAGGTTGAGACATCATGCACCAGCTAATGCGAGCCTCTTTTTACTTTTTAGACCTAGTTGGGGAGTTCCCTGCTGAAGCATGGTTCAAGGAGCGAGCTGCATCGTTGGCGAGGCAAGCGCATCCGCCTGGAGTACATGGCTTCACTTGCTCCCTGTTGGGCCGCTTCAGTTTTGACGTAAGGAGTGTCTTCAGAAAATAAGATTATGAGGTCCAGAGCTTTTCGGCCTGAATGTAACAGTAACATAATCATTCTTTACTAAACCATTCTTTTTTGCCATCGTTGGCATGGCGGTGGCGCCCCACATGGTCTGTATCATCAGGAAACAAATACAGCATAGAAAAATAATATTTGAAAAGGAAAAGAGTTGCAGCTCAATGTTTGTTGGCCAGTGTTATTAAGTCTGTCCCCGGGGAGCGAGCGCCTAGCGTGTTGGGCTCGCGAGTAGTGGGCCCGTGCTGTCCCGGAAGTCACCTGCGTCGCCTGACATCGCCCACGCCGCCTCGAACATCGCTTGTGCCGTCAGCAACTTTCCACGCGCATCTCATGTGCAACGCCCGATCTATTTTAAAAACATCCAGATGCAACAGTCGCAACATAAAAAAAAGATAGATGAAACACTTGCGAAAACGTCTGAAAATATTTAAAACCCATTGCAATCATATGCAACGTCCAGATGAAACACTTGCAAACATACGTATAAAACACACGAAAACATATGCTTGCAACATGCATGTATATGCAATATCCAGATCTACTTTTGTAACATCCAGATAAAACACTCGCAACATACGTCTGGAACAGATGAAGCATGTGAAACATATACTTGAAATATACGTGTATAGCCATTACAATATGTGCAACATCACAATCTACTTTTGCAACATGGATATACAACACTTGCAAAATACCTCTGAAACATCAGAAATACTTAAAACATACCCTTGCAACATGCGCTAGTCAGGGGACGTCAACAGCCCAGCGTAAACCCAGACGCGGGCCTCCCCTTCTTGCCTACGTGTGAGGTTGATGGGGCGCAGACGCAGGCCTTCCCAGGCGAAGGCGCATGCCTCCCCTTCCGCGTGGGCGAGGTGGATAGAGGCGCGCCACGGGATGACATGGACCGCGGAGCAGCCAGGGATGGGGGCACGGAGGAGCTAGGGATGAGGCGCACGAGCAGCCAGGGTTGGCGCAGTCTTGGCGCCGCCACCGGAGAAGGACACGTCAGCGGTATTTACTGCGCAATGCAAGCTTCACTGCAATTGTTGTCTTTGGAGAAGACGAGTGATGTTGTCATTTTTTTGTGGAGATACAAAGACGGAGCGTAGGTGCACTCTGAAGGAGCAAGCAGAGTGCGGGTGCGGGACGTCTGGAGGGACATACGTCCGCATCCTATCATTACCGAATCACGATTAGTCATTATTCTGGCCTCGACTAGGAGTTATGGCCAGATTAGACCGATTACTTTTCTGGTTGTCCGATGACTAGTCACGAATAGTTAGACGATTAGAAGGTGGACTATTAGAGTGAGAAACATAATGCGATTGAGTTAGACGACTAGAAGATGGACGATGATTAGAGTGAGAAACATATTTACTATATCTCTAGATAAATAAATTCCTAAAGTTATCTTAAGTCAAACTTTTTAACTTTGACCGAATTTATAGAAAAATAAACTCATCAAGAATTATGACATCAAATTAGTATAATTAGATATACTATAGAATATATTTTTATAATACGTTTATTTTATATGATAAATGATGTTACTTTTTCTATAAAGTTAGTCGAATGTAATATAGTTTGACTTGCAAGGATTCTAAGAATTGATTTGTTTGGGGACGGAGGGAGTGATGCAATTGCTTAACGGGTGGACAACTAGAGTGAGAAACATAATCAAATTGCTTAACAACGGAGACATTTGGGGGCTTAACAAGTTTTCAACCTAATTTGTAACCCTAGAATGCCATCACCACCTGTGTGAACCCTCACCTCACCCTCATGTGTCTGTCTTGCATCTCACTCCCTCCAGCCACTCTTCTAGCCGCGCCTGAGGGCAAGTACATTGCTGCATGTTAGCGGTCTTGTACCCTATCCCATGCAGTGCCATGTATGATTTTTGCTGATGTGGAGGAAAGGAAGTGGGGAGAGAGAAAGGTCGTTATTTCACGAAACAACCGCATCATGAGTTAAATTTTAGAACTGTTGGTACAACTATTACAATATAACATTGTATGAGTTGTTGTTATGCAACTCACAACTTTAATTTTATTATATTCATAAATTAAGGAATTGCGGTTTACTATAAGACAACTTAAAAGACAACCATTATACATGTTATCTATTAAGTCGTCTTAAAATTACATGGCACTACATGAGATCGCCTACGCGAGAGCACCAGTGTACTTGCCTAAGTAGGTGGGATCCTGGCATTCGGGTAGGAGAAGCAACTTTGCTGGCCGATGGCGCATCCTTCACTTCCCTTTGTGCCGTTGGCTCCTTCCCTCCCACTTATTGTGACCAAGACAACTCCCCCTCCCACTTCTTGTGCCTAGGGTGACTGGAGCAGACCGTAGGGAGAGCACGTGCAGAAGGATCAATGAGGAAAGTCACTGAACTTGTCAATGCAAGACGCTGACCGTCTCCTCCCTTCCCACCGAATTATTATCGGGCGCGCGTGTGCCGCTAACCGAAGCGGTGCGCATGATAACGCCGTAGCCTGAATCGAGGAAGGAGGGGGCAGGGGGCGGTGCGGCCAGCGGTGAGGTTGCCACAGCCGGGGTGGTTGACGAGGCACGGTGGCGACGACGAAGGTTGGGTTTTAGATTTTCCAGGGCATTCATGGCCGACGGGCTTAGAGCGGACCTATGGGCAGTGGTTAGACCGACGGTGGTGTCGTTGTGTGGGCGGCGAAGCGAAAAGAAAGAGCCCGCTGAACGGCTAGGAGATATCCGGTTACGGAGTCGATGTGAGGCGAGGAGAGTCGCCAAATGAGGTGTTCGATTGGGATTAGCGAAGGGCGGGAAATGTCGCGGGGGGGATGCGGTGTGGTCGGTCTTTGTCGTCGGAGCGAGGAGAAAGTTGGGTTAAGAGAGAGGAAAAAGAGGATGACTTAGAAGAAGAAGAAAGGAAGAAAAACCGTGTGGTACTGACCTTGCGGACGCGCGCTGATGAAAGCCCTGCCCTTCGCATCCTAGTTGCCGTTGCCCACGAAGATAAGCTCCTCCCCCCATGGTACTCGCTCCATTTTCTTGAGATCTCGTTCCTGAATCTTCACTGGTGTAGTATTCCTCTTTGCTCTGCCTACGTGTATGTGTACTGCCGCTGCAGAAGATAGTTCTACTGGTCAGTTTTTCGGAATTTACTGTTTCCGGCTTTAAAAATACTGTTCATCCTCGTACAAATTACTTCAAATTTATCTATATTCCTTCCTTTGGAGAAATTTGGAAATTCTTTGGAAACGAACACGGGCGTTCGTGCGCAACCAAAAGACGTTTTTCTTTTCGACATTTAATACTCCACGTATTCGACGCTAGATCCATCCAAATTAAACGAGGGCTAAATTCCTGGAAACGAACCGGGCAAATAAGACGTTGACATGTACTAGGATCCATCCATCAGATATTTTTTCTTCTCCCTTTCCTTATCCTCTGTCCCTACCCACACGCGCGCCGCCCACGATTCCCCGCTCCGCCAAGCTCCCGCGCCCGCGGCCGGCGCCCTCACGCCCCGCGGCTGGGACTGGCGCCCGCGCCCGTGGCCGTGGTCGGCGCCTCCAATCTCACGGCTTGGCTCGGGACCAAGAGGTGAGGGATACGCCCTGCGCGAGTGCGCGCTCGGCAGCACGATGCCGCTGCACTGTTCCCTGCCCGCGACCTGTTCGACGTTGTGCCTGCGAGCAGCGGCGCGGCCCGACGCCCGCTATCCGAGCTCCCACGCGCGCCTCGTCGGCCTAGCACTTTCTCGCCCACGCCACCGGAGGCTCGTGCACACTGGCTGCGCGCGGGCGGGGACGAGCGACTCTAAGGCCGTGCAGCTGGTGCTGGGCGGCCGTGCGCGCGGCGACGATGGCGACACTGACTCCGAGTCCAGCGACGACGAGGACGCCCAGGATCGCATGACCGACGAGGAGCGGAGGACGCTGCGCCGGAAGATACGGGAGATGATGGACCGCGTCCCGGAGACGGCGGAGCTGACGGACCCGGAGGAGCGGAGGGCCAAGATGCGGGAGCTGCTGACCAAGTACGAGCTGGTGATAGAGGAGGAGGACCCGGACTGGCCCGAGGACGCCGAGGATGGGATGGGCTTCAGCCTCGGCCAGTTCTTCGACAAGATCACCATCAAGGCCGAGAAGAAGGATGACGCCGAGGAGGATGATGACTCGGGGTATCAGAGCGACAAGGAGATTGTTTGGGAGGATGACAATTACATCAAGCCGGTAAGGGATGTCAGGACACAGGATTGGGATGCGTCTGTGTTCACTGATTTCGGGCCGATGATTGTGCTTGTGCATAACAGATATAAGAGGTATGATTCATTCATTGCTCTTGTTCATTGCTTCTTGATTTTCTAAGTAATTGCTAGAAGGTCTGATGTGTCTGTTCTGATTAGAGGGTCATATTGGTGTATGAGTGCTTGCACATTGCAGCTGAATAGATCTGATATATGCTGAACCTGTATGTTTCTGTCTAAATTGCAAGGGACCTACTGCATTGTCTTGTTTCAATTATCAATGAATAGGTCATGAATTTATTGAGGACCCATTTATCCAAGTTAGTTTGACAAAGCATGATGTCCATTCTTGCAGACCGCAGGAGGATGAGATGGCGAGGGCTGAGCTTACTAAGGCAATTGAGATGTTTTGGGAACACAATCTGCCATCACCAAGGGTATAGAGTTTGTTGCAACATCCTTTCAGTAATTCCCGTGGTAACTAGCGCTTCAAGGAGCATTTCAAGTTCTGACTATGCATATATCTTCTGCAGTGTGTGGCTGTAGATGCCTGTGCCGAGCCTGACCTCATGGACGCTCTGAAAGTTTCTGGTTTCCCTGAGATTCTCTTCACCAACGCGGGGAGGATAATATACCGTGAGAAAGGTTGGTTGTATGAGTCATCACAGAGAAACACTCCACTAGTTTGACTTGCATTCGATCAACTGTCTCGTGAAGTTGTCTGACCTTAATCTCTGGTGCTAGTTGTCCGGTCGGCGGAGGCATGGTCGAGGATGATGGCGTTTTTCTACTATAAAGCAGCAAGGCCACCGTTCTTGTGTGAAGCAGATGGGAAGGGTCAAGAAAAGGTCCCTTTGATGTCATGAGCACGACTTGGAGGCTTAGCTTTGTAGTAGAACTAATTTAGTGCTTCGAAGTTCGTATCAAATTTTTAGAAATATCAATGGACTTTGTTAGAACTTTACATGTCATTAGGAAGTTTATGCTGTTAGGACTTAGGACTAAGAGTTGAAACTTATAACTGTTACGAGAAAACCACATTAATCAGCCTCGTTTTTACAGCTTCTGATGCAGTGTAGCGATGTCTGGAAATTCTGCCACAAAGATGGAACATTAGTTGACTTGGGGCTCTTGGTGGGTTTCAACTTTAGCCTACCTCAACTTGCTTGGGACTGAAAGGCTATAAAGATGGAACATTAGTACATAGATATAAAAATCACATGGATGGAGGTATGTATGATGTATCCAAATTATATATTCATTTTCTGAATATGATATGATATGGTACGAGTATGGTGAGGATCTACGTGGCCTCTCAGTGGAGTGCAAATGGACTTGTCCACGAGTCCGAAATGTGCCATTTTAAGTGGGTTGTCGACTTGCATCCCTACTCAATTCATATATATATATATATTACTTCTATATAAATATCAGTAGGGGCATTTTTGTCATGAATGAAAGCATGTCCTAGTCCAAGAAAGCTTGATATGCACATACCGCCTTAGCTCCAGCTATACATCCCGACCCCCTGTGGGTGAGCAAACACGGTGCAACGTGGCGCGGCGGATGAGTGGTGGGCACATACTATGCAATGTGGGAGAGGGGGTGGATCGGGATGGTACACTAGTATAAGTTTAAGAAGCTAGTTGAGTATTTTGCAAATACCGATATTAGGATGAGAACTTAGCACAAGATTAGGGAGCTGAAGCACAAGTTTAGGGAGCCATGTGTGCAATTTGCAAGTACTTGGATTGGGACAAGAACTTGGGACAAGTTAAAAATCTGAATGTATAATTGAAAAAATTCGAGACCTAAATGAGAACTCGGATCAAGGACCGTTAGTAAACTTTACTCTTTCCTAATCTATTGAATTCCGGCGTGTACAAAGCTATCTCCCGCATGATTAAAGGGTGGATCCAACTAAAATCTAAGATTGTAATACTGGATGGCCTAGGTTCATGCTGCTGGCTCGTGTAGAGTCGGCAATAAAATTTCTTTTGTCTAAATCTAAAAAAAAAAAGAAAATCTCAACCTTTTCACCTTAAAGATAAAGAAAAACTTTCAAGCAGGCCCAAGGTCCAATCAATCAGGAGGCACAGAGCCCGTCTCTCCCGGAGACCACGCCTCTCAGGTTCTCCCTCCCAATCCCCAATTCCGTTATCCCTGTCTCGTCGTCCTCCTCCTCCCCATTACCCAAACCCTAACCCTAATACCGGTCATGGCGCTCACTACACGGGGCGGAGCCGCCGGCGGGGATCCGGCGAAGGCGCCGTCCGCCTCCGACCCCAGTCTTGGCTTCCTTACCAAGCGCGACACGGAGGTCAAGCTGCCCCGCGCCACGCGGGTCAAGAACAAGACCCCCGCGCCGATCCAGATTACGGCCGAGCAGATCCTCCGGGAGGCCAGGGAGCGGCAGGAGCCTGAGATCCGCCCGCCCAAGCAGAAGATCACAGACTCCCACGAGCTCTCCGATTACCGCCTCCGTAAGCGGAAGGAGTTCGAGGACGTCATCCGCCGCGTGCGGTGGAGCGTCTCGGCGTGGGTCAAGTACGCGCGGTGGGAGGAGCAGCAGCGAGACTTCGCGCGCGCGAGGTCTGTCTACGAGCGCGCGCTCGACGTCGCCCACCGCGACCACACGCTCTGGCTCAAGTATGCCGAATTCGAGATGCGGAACCGGTTTGTCAACCACGCCCGGAATGTCTGGGACCGTGCGGTGTCGCTCCTGCCCCGGGTGGATCAGCTCTGGTACAAGTACATCCACATGGAGGAGCTGCTTGGTGCAGTTGCCAATGCACGCCAGGTGTTTGAGCGCTGGATGTCTTGGCGACCCGACACAGCTGGCTGGAATTCTTACATCAAGTTTGAGCTGCGGTATGGGGAGGTCGAGCGTGCCAGGGCTATCTATGAGCGGTTTGTGGCTGAGCACCCACGGCCAGATACCTTCATCCGCTATGCTAAGTTTGAAATGAAGCGTGGTGAAGTAGAGTGGGCACGGCGGGTGTATGAGCGTGCAGCAGACCTGCTCACGGATGATGAGGATGCAGAGGTGTTATTTGTGGCATTTGCAGAGTTTGAGGAGAGATGCCGTGAGGTTGAGCGTGCACGTGCAATATACAAGTATGCTCTGGACAGGGTGCCCAAGGGTCGTGCTGAGGAACTGTATAGGAAGTTTCTGGCATTTGAGAAGCAATTTGGTGACCGTGAGGGAATTGAGGATGCCATTGTGGGCAAGAGAAGATTTCAGTACGAGGATGAGGTTAGGAAGAACCCACTAAACTATGACTCATGGTTTGATTATATCAGGCTAGAGGAGAGTGTTGGGAATAAGGACAGGATCAGGGAGGTGTACGAGAGGGCCATCACCAATGTGCCCCCTGCAGAGGAGAAGCGATATTGGCAGAGGTACATATACCTCTGGATTAACTATGCACTTTATGAGGAGCTAGACGCACAAGATATAGAACGGACCAGGGAGGTTTACAAGGAATGCCTGAGGTTGATTCCTCACAAGAAATTCACGTTCGCAAAGATGTGGCTCATGGCAGCCCAGTTTGAGATAAGGCAGATGAATCTAACGGCTGCAAGAAAAATTCTTGGGAATGCAATTGGAATAGCCCCAAAGGGCAAGATATTCAAGAAATATATTGAAATTGATCTTTATCTGGGCAACTTTGACCGCTGTAGGACTCTTTATGAGAAATATATTGAATGGTCCCCAGCAAACTGTTATACCTGGAGGAAGTATGCCGAATTGGAGAAGAACCTTAGTGAGACTGATCGTGCTCGATCAATATATGAACTTGCTATTGCGCAGCCAGCCCTTGATACACCAGAGGTTCTTTGGAAGGTATGTTGTCTTGCAGAGCTGTGTTTGTATCCTTAGCTTATGCACATACATTATATGGTTTGTATTGTGGTGTATAATAGGTGCATTTGTTTTATTATTATTCCTAAACCAAATGACGGAGTATGAATGGTGTTGTAAATAGCTATTACTTCCTCTGTCCCGAATTATAAGACATTTTGGCATTCTAGATTCATAGTTTTTACTTTGTATCTAGACATAACATATATCTAAATACGTAGCAAAAGCTATAAAAAAAAAGGGTAGACCCAGTGCCTATGAACCAAAAAAAGCCAAAACGTCTTATAATTTGGAACAGAGGGAGTACGTTGCCCTAGTTACTAAAATCACCAGAGCTCATTTCTAGTGAACAATCCATTGCTCTTTAGGGGTCTTTAAGAGGCACCATCCTTCGGATAAGAATAAGTTACTGTACAAATGTCTGATTTGCTAATTTGTTTGCAATGGTACCTATTCTATCTCACTGTTCGCCTACACGGCCGTTCAGCCCGTTTACACGCCATGTAAACGCTACACAGTGGCTTGCCCTGTTCGTTTAATCAGCTGTTTATCCCGTTTAATCACTGTTTAGTCTGTTTAAATGGCTGTTTAGCCCTAATAAATAGCTAAACGATAGGTGACCATTTAGTCTGTTTAAACACTAACACTCTGAAAGTTTGTGAAACTATTCAGGCTGCAGAAACATTTATTTGTTGTGCGCTTGTATTTTTAAGTGTCATTTTAGCCCCTGTTCTCTGTATGCCTTTCCCATGGAGGTGAATAGTCACAAATGTCATTGGACTGTTTGATCGTTGCTCAATGTAGTTTCGGATTTGTAGCCTAAATTCAACACATCTCTTGGTAGTATTCTAATTGAACAGGAAAGCATTGAATCTGATCATGAATTGTTCAGACATGAAAAACTTTGTAAGATATTAGTTGATCATGTTCATTCCTATATCAATGCCATGATGATTAACTGCACGATATGCTTATTAGAGACTTTGTCCTTTCTTGGATTTTAGAGATCTGTACATTGGGCTGTAACATCCTAAAATTAATTTGTGTCTGAAGCTAAAATGCTATACATTTTTACTGTTCCTGAACCAGAATCCTTTTTTTTTCTTGGCACAACTTTTCATCAATGCTTCTACATTGAAATCTGTGTTATCAGAGCTAGTTTATGAAAGAACTTTTGCCCTGCTATATCAGTCTTGGAATTCCTTACTTTATGTGATCATGAGTTGTTTTGCTTTAATTGCATTTTGCAATCTTACACATGCTTGCCTAGAGGATGCTGTAGTTGATTTGTCTTTTGTGTAAGTACTTCTAAATTTGTTTAAGATTTTTTTTATATATGGATGCTTACCAACTCATGTCCTGCTCTTTAACGCACAGGAGTACTTGCAGTTTGAAATTGATGAAAATGAATTTGAGAGGACAAGGCAACTATATGAAACACTGCTTGATAGGACAAAGCATTTGAAGGTATGGATCAGTTATGCTGAGTTTGAGGCCTCTGCTGGCTTGGGCGGTGAAGACAGTGAAAGCGAGGAGAAAAAGAATGAAGTTGGTTATCAGGAACAGCAGATGGAGCGGGTCCAAAAATGTAGAGGTAAATGATGAGTTAGAGATCAATCTTACATTGTCCAACAATATATGTTTTTGCATGTATTGGCTCGTTGTGGACTAGAAATAACATCTTTGTGTTTTGATGATCAGCTATCTTTGAAAGGGCATTCGACTACTTCAGAACCAGTGCCCCAGAGTTGAAGGAGGAAAGAGCTATGCTTCTTGAAGAGTGGCTTAATAAGGAGGTGAGCTTTGGTGATCTTGGGGATGTCAGCTTAGTGCAAAAGAAGGCGCCCAGAAAAGTCAAGCGGAAGAGACCAATCCCTACAGAAGATGGCTCCACTATAGCGTATGCTCTTTACTCAGTTTTCTCTTTTAACACCTCTCGAAAAATTTGCAATATGTCTTTTTCCTTTCTTTTCCTGGAGCAATGGAATATATGTACTGACA